CGCTGAAATCATTATAACTTTTCTTTCAAGTATATAGGAAAAAATCGTCGCTTATCTATTTTTAGAGCACTGTCCAGTCAATTAATTTTTTTTAGTCAGGGAGAAGATCGTTTTTTGTTAACCTTTATAGATTTTTTTTACACATGTACGGGCCTGAGGAATTATTACCTGAAAAGAAGCTACGATCCTAACTTTGTACCTTCGGGTCTTTTCCCTAGCCATAATTTTTTCCCTCAAGGAATTTTTCCCTGTTTTACATAATGATTGGTCTCGCATGCTTATCGATTTTTGAGAGCCTAGTCCTGTGCTGTATTCTGATGCGATCTACTTTATGTAGCTTTCCGCCCATCTAACCGCTCCTTACTGAATAAAAACGGTTTTAATTGAGTCTGTTCAAAGAACTAGCCAATATTTTTCCAGCGGTTCGCACGATTTTCCTAATTCCTCCTAGTCCCTGTCTAAGACGCTTTCATGTGCATTGGTTAAATTTTCTTTTCATAAGCTACAATGTTCATAATCGCGCATGCTGATGTCATTTATCCTTAAAAAAATTAGTTTATCAAAGCAGAGTGAATTAAAGGTATCATGAGGCGTTTGTGATTTTATAAACTATGTGACGCGGTCCTTTTCTTACGGCTTATGTCCGTTGGTGAAATTGCTACTTGGGTTTTCTTGGATTGAAAAGGGCGGGCTCTTTGTAAACGTGGCGTTGTTTATGGGACCTCAGTATTCAGAACAGAATCAGTCGATGGCAAACAACGAAAAGGCTTTTATGTGGTAAGTTACAGCGATGAACCTTGGCTCGAGATGGCCATATTTCTGTACATACTTTCAGTGTTGGTCTGAAAATTTTTTGTTACGGATGGGGGGTGGGGGGGGGAGGGAGAGATCAGAACATATAGCTCGTGTTGTTTATGAGACATTAAAGTAACGAAAACTGTTAAACGAGTCTTAAACAGTCTTCTACAAATCAAAATAGTTCAGTGCAAATGCTTACGGGGGGCCCTAACTATATGATGATTAGAAGGGCAATATTTGGAAAGGTGCATGGTCGTGGAGTTAAGGAGATTTGTCCTGGATTTGACTAATCAGCCAGTTTCCCGCCAAACATAAGGTGTTCTCAAGTTTCAGTTTCGTTCCAGCGTGCAGTTCCTTGTCCCCCTAAAAATGGCTTCGTCTCCCACCGATCATTCATGTCACATTTTTCGGACTTTTACTCAGTAATGGCGGTACGATCAGGTTATTTTACTTGATGAGTTCTTTAATTTCATTTCATGTACTAGTTTTATATCTTACGCAGGAAAGATCTGCCAAATGTACATAAGCAAAGTTACACGTGCATTTATCGAATACCATATAATTTCCATAAAGCCTGTGGCTGTGAATGGTGGCACATGATAGCCGTGGCGATGAACATAACAACAAAACGTTTAATCATACACGAGGCTGAATCAACTCACAAGTATCATCACAAACATCCGTTAGAAATCCGTAGCACGAGAAAGAAAAAACTGAAACAAACGACTTACAAAACACTTGGGAAACTTGAAGAAAACCTTAGTGAAACTTCAGGTTATTTCACGGTGGCCTCGTGCCCGCCAATGCCGAGGCCCCCGTGCGCATGCTCCTAATAAACAAGGGAGTAAGCCCGCTGGTCAGGATACCAGCAGTTACAAAGTCGCAGAGCACGGTTTGTTTTTCTAGCCTTTTGATAAAAAATTGACAACGTTTGCGTTATCTTTGCCTAAAGAAAATATGTGATTTGTAGCTGTATACAGCGAAATACTACAGAGAAAATTGTAACTGCACAGTACACGAGCGGCTCCCTATTGGTCTGGCAACTCGAAGAGCGAACTTGAGCTAGTACCGTGTGTAACAAAATTTATAATTTTCATTTTAGCGCATAGTTCAAGCTCTTCGCAGGATCAGAAACAAAAGATCATCTTTTTGCATTACAAGGGAGGGTTTTTTAAGCGATAGATAGGCTTTAAGAGGCACGATCAATTTTTAAAGAATTTCTTTTCAAGTATTCACCGAATTTTGTCAGGAAGTTTAAGCGGCCAAGTGGCTGAACATTGGGCATTCATGCAATTATAGTTCTGCTCCGTTGCTTTAATATTTTGCCCAATTATCTTATTCAACAATCTAACTTATCTATAAACAAACTATGTTTAGTTAAAATGGCTTAGTCTAAATCGATGTGGCATGGGTGATATTGATCTTCGAATTTCTACCAAATTTGTGTCCCTGTTGAGTACAGTATGTTGCCCAGTATTNCATTGGGCATTCATGCAATTATAGTTCTGCTCCGTTGCTTTAATATTTTGCCCAATTATCTTATTCAACAATCTAACTTATCTATAAACAAACTATGTTTAGTTAAAATGGCTTAGTCTAAATCGATGTGGCATGGGTGATATTGACCTTCGAATTTCTACCAAATTTGTGTCCCTGTTGAGTACAGTATGTTGCCCGGTATTCGGACGGTACCAGTATCCGGACACTTGAAACAAAAACTCAATTTTTGAGGCGCCCTTTTCAGTTCTAGGTAAACGAAGCATTTCGAATGAAAGCTGAACATTTCAGCTTTAAGATGAAAGTTTTGGCGATTTGGAAGCTTGCGAAACAGTCGCAGATGACGCCGTTCTGTTCCGTGAGTAAACTTTTCATGGCTAATATTTACGCTGTTTACTGCGCAGTAAAATTAGTGCTGTTCAGAAAAGGGAGTATAATGTGTGATATTTTCAAAGAAACTGTTTTATTTTTAAAGTGAAGATACTTAAGGAAGTCAGGTTTTCAGAAAGCTTATTAATTCTTCTTGAAATTCGATTTGTTTGGAATAACGGAGGCCAGAAACATTCACTAAGCATTGACGTCAGGTGCCCAGTATCCGGACAGTTTTTTCTTTGCTGTACAGAATCGATGAATTAGCTGTGTACATTATCCGGATAAGATTTATTTCATATCAGTAACTATAACTTAAGCTTAGGATATCATGATATAGTCGTAAAATGTAATTTTACTCAACTCCGTAGGGAAATTTTCTTCACTCATTCAGAGGCGACTTGATTTCGTGTGCACGGCTTCTTTCGCGTGACTGCATTTTCTATATAACCGAAAGCGTCTGAGTTGAACCTGGAATTCTCATACTTTCCCCAGTTGTGACTGCTAGAATGGGATTACAACGGTTTGAAAAATGTCACAAAGGGATTGAGACATGTGAAAGAAGGAGGAATTAGTGCTAGAAAAGCAGGCTTATTGTGGGACTGAGCATGAAGAAATCAACATTGCAGGTCAGACTAAATAGGAGAGTGACCTTTGACCGTTGGATTGAAGCTCTTTTTTAATAAAAAGTGAAGAAAAAAAGTAGTTTGTAGATTGGCTAATTGAGCTTGCAAACTGCGGCTTCGGCATGTCCACGGATGCCTTCCTTAAATTAGTGAAAACGTTCCTAGACAAGGAAGTGAGAATTATACCATTTTTAAAACAGCCGCTCGCTTTCCCCACAATACCCCAGTTATTTGTTATGTTTTATTTCACGATGCTAGGTTGTATTTTTGGAATCGATTGCCAGACTACTCTGCAAGTGCAAGAGAAGCTTGTAAGTCGCTTGCCTGTCGACATTTATGTACAATTACGTTGTTATTGTTGTGTCCGGATACTGGGCCAGCTGTCTGGATACTGGGCAACATAGGAGCTCTGCAAAAATATTAATTACGCGATGGAAACAAAGGCAAAAAAGTTCAACTGTCTTTCGTCATATTAAGGACTAAATAGATTTTCTCTGGGCCAAATTTCAGAGCTCTTGCGATAAACAAAGGAAAGTTATTGCAATCTTAAAGTGTCCGGATACTGGGCAACATACTGTACCTAAAAAGTGCTGTGAGAAGTTATAGCCGTTCGTAGGTAAATGAAAGGAGGAAGAATAGTTCTTTGCAACTATATGAGTCACCATTAAGTTATTTTAATGATAAGGCTAGAATTAATTACTGTAAATCTCCTTCAGTTCACCAACATGGCGGCCCCTCATGGCCTCGTCAAAACTGTCATTCCTGTATCTTTGAAACCAAAGAAAATTCGAACCTTAGAATACGCATTCAGCATTTAGGACACCATCCTAAGACAACATGCCAAAAATCAGCCAAATCAATGAGGTACCGTGTCAGGCTAAAGTTCGAATTTTACAAAAAATCACTCTTTCAGTAGGAGCCTTAGTGTATAGCCATTATAGAGAGTACCCTCACAGGGTTGAGGAGGGTAGGGCAAAAGAGCGCGTCTCTAATTGTCTGCAGAAGGACGGAGACATCCCCAGTAATCTGCTTGAGGGTTTGCGTTACAAAACAGAAAACCGTCAGAATAGATGGATAGGGACCTGAAGGTCTGAGCAAGGACGACAAAACCAGTTTTAACTGCCTTTGATGTCCTTTGGTAGTTTTGCAATTTTGCCATCAGCTAATCCATGCACCCCTAGTTATAAAACCCACAAACAATAAAACCATGCAAAGAAAACAAATACGGTACCACTTAGTGCAAAACTAAGGAGCGCATACCCCAACGTGCTAAATCAGCTGCAGTGCAGACAACTGGGGGACAGAGGTATGTAATGCTAAACACCTTCAGAAGCGAAATGGCTGCAGAAATTAAAGGTAAGCTCCCCTAAATGTGAGTGATGTCCTTGACTGATTTGTAACGAACAATGAAACATGTCACAAAGAAATTGAATACAATTCCTCCTAACGTATCCAGTCCACTGGTCCGTGCCAGCAAAATAGCTATTTATGCCTGTTCCGTGATGCTACACTGTCAGTAAAACCATTTCTTTTTCCAAAGCACTTTCGTCAACTCTTCGTTGTAAGCTTGTCAGGTCTTCATTGCATCACCGCGAAAGGCTTTGAACTTGTCTAACATTGACATCTTGTTTTCCACATTTGTTTTTACATAATTTAAAGCTCGGTCACCGCTAAATTTGCTGGATTATCGGACGTTCGGTTCTGTCTACAACTGCAACGACCAAAAGTAAAGATCAAACTTATCTTTTTCAAAATGGTCTTGTACTCTCGTCTGAAGCGCCTATTGGTAGCGCCATATTTAAAGGGGTTGATTGTACTACTTAGGTAGGCCAGAAACCCGTAAGTAAGATATACCTGTCGCGGCAAAGTGGGCTCCCCGCGTGCTGCGTCGATGTAATCCATAATACAGATAGGAAGCCAACATAAGGGGGAACTGGCCATGACCAAGTCTAATGTCTTGGTCACTTTGACTTCGACTTCTTCGACGTTTGCTCTCAGCTGTTCAGGGTTATTTTCTTGCGTGAAAACACGATTTGATCTTGAAACTGTGTAGAACACTTTGGCGTAGCAGAAAGTGATGAGTGTAAAGGGCGCAGCGACAAACACACATTCGATGAAGACGGTATAAGCAATGTTAGTTTGGAATGGGTACATGCACATTGCTTTTCCTGGTTGGAAAGTGTATCGCCTGTCTGAAAAATTAGGGGAGGCACTGAGCCAATGAGAGCCATAAACCATACTGCCGCAGTGTACAACAAAATTCTTTGTTTTCTGAATAAAACAATGTACCTCGTTGGTTTTACTACGCAAAAATATCGGCTGATTGCAATAATCCCCATAGTATTTAGAGAAGACATTGCAAACGTAAAAATTGCAAAACCCTGCAGCTGACAAACAGTAGTCCCGAATATCCATCGGCTTTTGCCGAGTGTAGCAACTGAAAGAGGCATACAGCTGACAGATATTAGTAAATCATTGACAGCTAGCGCTACAATAAACATATTGGCAAGCGAACGAAGTCTCTGGTTTCTATAGACGGCGTAGCAAACAGAAACGTTTCCGGAGATGGCCATTGTATTGACGATAGCAAGGAAAATTGCTTCAATCCAGACTAGATACTGTGCTCTTTTGAGGAGCTCGATGGAATGCAGATGTTCCATAATACGGGGCTGATTCAAACGAATTCGTTGAAAGTATGCAGCGAAGTCTTGAGAAGATCTTTGTAATAATTTGAACTCTACTGGTTTCAACGTTTAAGAGAAGTAGCCTTCTATACTGCATTAGGTGTTCGTGTCATTAATGAAAAATGTCAAATTATTAGTTAATTTGAATTCACTGTTCACAGCTAGCCAAGACTTAAACAGCTTCCCCCAAAAGAAGAGATATCCTAGTAGCCAAGAGTGTCTGCCTCTCCGTCATTTAGGGGTAAACTAGGGCGATTAAGATCCGACGACGGCGACGGCAACAAGAACGTCATCAAAAGCAATAGGTTTAATAACCAAAACAACAATTTTGCACTCGCATCACGCTTTTTTGTACATTTCTTTGCATTCACTGCACGACTACGACTTGAAAATGCCTATTTTCACTTTTTCGAGCGGAAGTACACAATTAAGCGACGACGAAATTTCCTTTCTCTTTTTGACCTTGGATATGGTTCTTTAGGAATTCAACTTTTAGGAGGGTTCACCTTTGATAAAGTTAGTGACTTGGAGTAATCGCGATGAAGATTGAAAGAACGCGAATTCACTTTTTCAGCGACGTTTTCGCTGCCGTCTCGGTCCTCAGATCTTAAGGTCCGTAACGTTTTCCAATGCACGGGGCAATTCGATAGTGGTCACTTAAGTAGTCGGGTAAGCTTCATTCATTTTGCAGACATTTCCTTGTCACTTCATCATTTTGACTCTGAAGATGACTACCGCTATGCCTAGATACAAGTATCCGGATATTTTTAAGATATTTAGAAGATTTTGGGGTATTTGGAAAATCTCATGATATTTAGGAGAACATTGGGATATTTAGAATTTTGTTACGAAAAAAGTACTACTGAAATCATGTTTTTTATAGGAAGCTACTGGGCATTTCAGTGACAGAAATTCAATTAAATCGCCACATATGGGCCTGTTGTAATCAGATTCAGCAATATTCTCCATTTATATAATATATGCAATATGGCTAATGTTCAACAAAATGGCTGATGACGAACCCTTTTAGCCACGCACAAACCAAACGGTAGTGTCCTTTTTAGACCACTTTAGAGCTCCAACGCCTAATGCCGGTGACCGTCTTCAACGATCTCTGCCTGTATTAAAGTGCAGTGCTCTAGTCTTCTTGTAGGCTGAGGAGCTGCTTTATTTATGTGAAATTGCGTAGAGTTTTGTAGTATGCTGTACAAGGATATAAGTACCTGGAATTTGCTGAAATTTCTGTTGCCATTTTAGATGAGGAGCTTTTTTTGGTGTTTTTACTGTAATATTTATGAAATGAAGCCAGATATTTTTGAGATATTTAGAACTTTTTCGAGATTTTTAGAAAAACAATCGGGAATTTCCGGAAACATATTTAGGCAATTTTCGTGATATTTGTATCCAGGCCTAACTACCGCACAGGTTGTCAAAGCGTCACCCACCGTCAACAAGAACAGTGCTATTCAGGACTATGTTCACCCGGACGATCAAACTCAACCTACTTTTGAGTATTCTCATAATAAGGTCCCATTTCATGAAGATATAGTGCAGCGATTCTTAATCTTGAAAATAACTTTACTTTATTCCTAATGCAACAAAGCCTTCGTACTCTCATATAAGAATGATGCTAAATTAGAATGTGAAAAACCATCTATTCTAATTGAAATTCTTATCATAATGTCGAAAATGATTTTTCTTGTACATGCACATCAATCATCCGAGAATTTCGCTTCTTTTCCGACTTAAAAAGTTTAATAGCCTGTCATTACAGGGTACAAAAGCAAAATTCATTACCAAGCGTGACAGTTTTATTGCAAAGTGCGAGAGAATAGCATCTTTTCGAAATATTTTGCATTAAAACCCTTTTAGATATCTCAAAGAAGATTTCCCTTTTGTTTCATATACCTCATCATGTGAAATTCCTGGCCTTTAATTAATATACCCAGGAAACCCAAAGAATGTATTGCTTTCGGTAGGAGCCTTAATGTATAGCCATTATAGAGAGTACCGTCTCAGGGTTGGGGAGGGTAGGGCAAAAGAGTGCGTCTCTAATTTTTTGCAGAAGGACGGAGACATCCCCAGTAATCTGCTTGAGAGATTGCGTTTCAAAACAGAAAACCGTCAGAATAGATGGATAGGGACCTGAAGGTCTGAGCAAAGGACATCAAAACCAGTTTTAACTGTTTTTGATGTCATTTGGCAGTTTTGCAATTTTGCCATCAGCTAATCCGTACACCCTTAGTTATAAAACCCGCAAACAGTGAAACCATGCAAAGAAAATAAATACGGCGCCACTTTGTGCAAAACAAAGGAGCGCATACCCCAACGTGCTAAAATCAGCTGCAGTGCAGACAATTGGGGGACAGAGGTATATAATGCTAAACACCTTCAGTAGCGAAATGGCTGCAGAAATGAAAAAATACCCCTAAACTCCCCTAAATGTAGGTGATGTCCTTGACTGATTAAAATTTGTAACGAACAATGAAACATGTCACAAAGAAATTGAATCAGTATAATTCCTCCTAACGTATCCAGTCCACTGGTCTGTGCCAGCCAAATAGCTATTTATGCCTGTTCCGTGATGCTACACTGTCAGTAAAATCATTTCTTTTTCCAAAGCACTTTCGTCTACTCTTCGTTTTAAACTTNTCAAAACAGAAAACCGTCAGAATAGATGGATAGGGACCTGAAGGTCTGAGCAAAGGACATCAAAACCAGTTTTAACTGTTTTTGATGTCATTTGGCAGTTTTGCAATTTTGCCATCAGCTAATCCGTACACCCTTAGTTATAAAACCCGTAAACAGTGAAACCATGCAAAGAAAAGAAATACGGCGCCACTTTGTGCAAAACAAAGGAGCGCATACCCCAACGTGCTAAAATCAGCTGCAGTGCAGACAACTGGGGGACAGAGGTATATAATGCTAAACACCCTCAGCAGCGAAATGGCTGCAGAAATGAAGAAATACCCCTAAACTCCCCTAAATGTAGGTGATGTCCTTGACTGATTAAAATTTGTAACGAACAATGAAACATGTCACAAAGAAATTGAATCAGTATAATTCCTCCTAACGTATCCAGTCCACTGGTCTGTGCCAGCCAAATAGCTATTTATGCCTGTTCCGTGATGCTACACTGTCAGTAAAATCATTTCTTTTTCCAAAGCACTTTCGTCTACTCTTCGTTTTAAACTTATTAGGTCACCTCAAAAGGCTTTGTCTAACATTGACATCGTGTTTTCCACATTTGTTTTTACATAATTTGAAGCTCGGTCACCGCTAAATTTGGTGGATTATCGGACGTTCGATTCTGTCTTCAGCTGCAACGACCACAAGTAAAGATCAAACTTGTCTTTTTTAAAATGGTTTTGTACTCTCGTCTGAAGCGCCTATTGGTAGCGCCATATATAAAGGGGTTCATTGTACTACTTAGGTAGGCCAGAGACCCGTATGTAAGATATACCTGTCGTGGCAAAGTGGGCTCCCCACGCGCTGTGTCGATGTAATCCATAATACAGATAGGAAGCCAACATAAGGAGAAACTGGCCATGACCAAGGCTAACGTCTTGGTCACTTTGGCTTCTTCGACGTTTGCTCTGAACTGTTCAGGGTTATTTTCTTGCGTGAAAAGACGATTTGATCTTGACACTTTGTAAAACACTTTGGCGTAGCAGAAAGTGATGAGTGTAAAGGGCGTAGCTACAAACACACATTCGATGAAGACGGTATAAGCAATGTTAGTTTGGAATGGGTACATGCACATTGCTTTTCCAGGTTGGAAAGTGTATCGGCCTGTCTGAAAAATTAGCGGAGGCACTGAACCAAAGAGAGCCATACACCATACTGCCGCAGTGTACATCAAAATTCTTTGCCTCCGGAATAATACAATGTACCTCGTTGGTTTCACCACGCAAAAATATCGGCTAACTGCAATGACCCCCATGGTAAGTAGAGATGATATCGAAAACGTTAAAATTGCAAAGCCCTGCAGTCGACAAACAGTAGTCCCGAATATGCATCTGCCTTGAACGAGAGAAGCAATTGAAAAAAGCATACCGCAAACAGATATTAATAAATCGCTAACAGCCAGTGCTATAACAAACATATTGGCCTCAGTCTTGAGAGAGTCTTGAGACTGGGAAGCAATGGCGGTGTGAAGACGTGCCGAAAGACCGTCCGCCTAATAACACTACTCTTTTGCCGTGGATGATTTAATGGAAGAATTTTTTAAGCTATTGCTAAGTAAAAGAAGAACAAGACAGCTATCCTCCGATAGTTCTCTAGATACCTCGCCAGAACCAAAGAAACTTAAAGAGTGTGATAGTTCTAATTCTTCCGAAGGCGAACGCGAAGAAGAAGCTGGCGATATTATTCTATATGCTCTGAATATGGCTGAAGGCCTTCAAAAACCACTGCAAGATATTCTTAAGAAGCTTGAAAAGCTGGATGCCATCGAAGAAGCAATGAATAACCTCGGGAAGTCTTTCGGGAAGTTAGAAGGAAGAATACATACTCTCGAAGATGCGTACGCTACCACCAAGCGTGATGTTGAAGATCTTAAGGAAAGTTTAAACGCAAACGAAACAGATAAAAAGACGACATCCGAGAGAATAAAAAAGCTCGAAGACAGCACAAAATCGAGCCTAGCGGCCCTACAGAAAGAGAATGATGAACTCCGTGCCAATTTTAAACTGATCGAGGATAAGAACTTATATCTGGAAGCATATTCTAGGCTCGAAAACATTAAGTTTGAAAACCGCCATTCCAGAACAAGAAACGAACAAAGAGGACACGGAGATGGCGCTGCGCACCTTTCTGGAAACGGAATTGGGTTTTGGCGACGCTGCCAATGTTGAAATACAGCGAGTTCATCGTCTAGGAAAAAAGAGAGGAGAAAGTTCCAGACCCATACTTGCTAGATTTCTACGATATAAGGACTGTGAAAAGCTTCTTTCGCTGGGACATCGTCTACGAGGAACAAACTACAAAATGTACCAAGATCTTCCGTTTGAGATCGTCGAACGTAGGAGAGCGCAGATGGAAACCTTCAAAAAGGCAAGACGCAACAACATTCCCGCAGCTTTCAGCAAAGCCCAGCCTGACAAACTGTTCATAAGAGGGAAATTGTGGCCTTTTGGAATGCCATTAGAACTGTGAGTTTAATAACACAAGTCTTAAACATTCACGCTTTAACTTTAAGTTTTTTTTTTTTTAACAAATTATGTCCGTTATTTCACCTGAAGATTTTTGTATTTACTCGAAATTATGATAGGTGGACTGGACGGAAAACACGCTTCTGTTCGGAATACATCTCTTTTCTTAAACTTTGCTTGCCTTCTCGACTCTCGAAACTAAGCAAGCTAGTTTTTCCATACAAATGCCGCGCTCAGTCAGTGATCTTTTTTATTTCTTTTGGTGTGTACTTTTACATGTATGTTTTCCTTTTTATTTGGTCGGGGAAAAAGCGTCCTACAGATATATAATTAGTTTCTTTGAAAAATCTTCTAATCTCGATTCTATGAAACTTCGCCCAACAAATGTTTGTTTATGGAAATCAACCGGAACAGTTTTGCATTCGAAATACCGCTTCTGCTCAAAAGATGCAAATCAAACAGGTAACACCTCATCTTTGCTGGTTTACTGTTTAAAACAATACCTTGCAATTAACTGTAGTAATGGCTGACCTAAAAATTGCATCTATGAATGTCAGGGGAATAGGAAACAATAACAAGAGGAGAGAGACTTTCAACTGGCTCAGAAACAAACAACAATCAATTATCTTTTTGCAAGAGGTACACTGTACGGAGGCAACTATTGACACGTGGAGATCTGAATGGGGCTATAAAGCGCTCTTTAGTTGCTTTTCAGGAAGCTCAGCAGGCGTTTGTATTCTCTTTAACAACAATTTTAAATTTGATATTTTGAAAACCTTTTCGGACCCCTCCGGACGTTATATTGTATGCGATATTAAAACTGACGAAAAACTTTTCACCCTGGCAAACATTTACGCTCCTAATGAAGACGACCCGTCCTTTTTTAAACAAGTTTTTGATCACGTACACGATTTTGCGTGCGAAGAAATAATTTTGGGAGGTGATTTCAATCTCGTGTTGGATGTTAAGGAGGATAAGAAGGGCGGCCTTCCCAGAACCTACCAAAATGCTTTGAAAATAATCAATCAAAATTGCGAAGAACTTAACTTAACTGATATATGGAGAACGCTGAACGCTGATAAACACAGATATACATGGCGCCGGAAGAAGCCAGAAATTCAATGCAGACTTGATTTCTTTTTAATAAGCTCAGATTTAATCTGTGATACCAACCTGGCAGACATTGTGCCCGGGTACAAAACCGATCATTCAATGATATTGCTTAAAATAGCCTTACACTACAACCCAAGAGGAAGAGGCTTTTGGAAGCTAAACACCTCGCTCTTGAAAGAGGAGGAATATTTGAACTTAATCAAAGCAACTATTTATCAAACAAAAAGCGAATACCAGTCTGACAACTCGGTTAATCCGGCCCTGCTCTGGGATATGATCAAAATGAAAGTAAGAGAAAAATCGATTGCATATGCAGCAGCTAAAAACTACAAAACTAAGTCCCGCGAGGATATCCTTTACAAAGAAATATCAGGTTTGGAGAAAGAATTGGATGAAAACACTGCCCTAAGCGAAACACAAAAATCGCTGCTACAGTCAAAACTTGACAATCTTAGAAGTGAGATGGAAGTAATTATTGAGTATCGTACAAGGGGTGCCATATTACGGTCGAGAACCCGGTGGCATAATGAAGGAGAAAAAAACACAAAATACTTTCTAAATCTAGAAAAACGACACTACAGACAGGGAACAATTAGTCGCTTAAAGAAAAGTGAAAACGACTTTGCAACCACAGATAAGGAAATCCTTCAGGAATGCGAGTCTTTCTTTAAGGATCTTTATTCTTCTAAGTTGAAAACTGACTCGATTCTTCCAGAAACTGACTCCTTTTTCTCAGAGAACGACACCGTTTTAAGCAACGAAGAACGCGATTCCCTTGAAGGTTATTTAACTGAATTGGAATGTCTCAATGCTTTTAAGTCTTACGAACTCCCACAGAGTCTGGGCTGCCTGTGCTGAAAGAGGCATACAGCAGACCGGTATTACTAAATCACTATTAGCCAGTGCTATAACAAACATAATATTGGCAAGCGAATGAAGTCTCTGGTTTCTAAGCACGGGCGTAGGAAACAGAAATGTTCCCAGAGATGGCCATAAGAATATGTTGATGATAGCGAGGAAAATTGCTTCAGTCCACATTAAATGCTGTGCTCTTTTGAGGAGCTCTCCGTAAAGCTAATGTTCCATAACGGGGCTGACGTAAACGGATTTGTTGAAAGAATTCAGGAAAATCATGTGAAGATCTTTAATTTGGGGCCAGGCTTTGAACTCTGCTGTTTTCGATGTTTGAGAGAAGTAGTCTTTTTACAGCAGGTGTTTGTCTCGTCTTATTTATAAAAAATGTTTTCTTCATTTTCATTTCATTTCCGCTGTTCATATATGATTTATTTCATCTATCATTAAAGAAAAAGGTTTTCTCAGTAGTTATTTATAAAGATGGTTTTCACGCTGACGTCATTAAATTGTAACGTCAAAATAGAAGATAAACAAAAAATAAATCCTTGTACAAGTTTCCAGTCCCGTAGCATGATTCATTTCGAAAATAAAGCAATTTGAAATTCCGAGTTTTCACAATGCATGACACCAAAAAAAAAAAAAAGTATCTTCCAAATGACTCAAGACGAAAAGAGGCAGTAAATAACAAAACAAAACCAAGAGGGGAGTCAATTTTATTTCTATTTTTGTCCAAAAAATGGAATTTAGGCCTTTTTTTGCTTATTTTCATACATTCTCTTATGAAATCAACGTCTTACGAACTCCCACATAGTCTGGGCCGCCTGTGCTGAAAGGGGCATGCAGTAGATAGGTATTACTAACATCCTTGGGGACCCAGGGGCAGTCTAAACTGAGATCAGGCCCAATTTGAGCGGTTCTCATACATTCTCTCTAACGGCTACAGCTTTCGTCTTGCCCGCCGGAATGTAATTTTCAAAGCGAAACGAAAATAGAGCCTGATCTCAGGTTAGGGGTAGTCAGTCGGGTCGGGAGAAAAGGCAGGATGAAAGTTTTCAAGTACGGGCGAAAGAGCCCCTAGTACCGACTCTCACCCAGCTACTTCCAAAAATTCAAGCGGATGCCGGCTCCTGATTGGGCACAAAAAATGCTTTGTATTATTGTGCCCAATCGGCAAACAGTTTCTCCTAAGTTCTTTTCGTGAGTTCGTGCACGAAGGCTATTGTCTCGATCACGGCTTGTCTGGCTCATGCACAGAAATGCACGCAGTCAGGAAACTTTCACTTTCAAATAAAATCCCCGTCTGATTTCAAAATACTGTCTGCCCGAAACTAAAGACGCGCGCTTTTCCAAAAATACAAGTTTGAGCTTGCAACAGGTATTAAAGCTTGCATCTGTCACGTCCTGCATAAATATTAGGGAGTTTTTAAAAGATACCACGACGACTCCAGTTTCTATAGTGTTTAGTCGAACTCACTTACTTTCTAAAATGCAAGCGAACTCTTCTGGAGCTGAATTTCTATCAACCATATTCAAGTTCATGAAGAGAATGAATTTTGTCATTGCTTATTTACGTCCTTCACAAAACATGACTGATTAGGCATTTTCACGATGTACAAAAAAGTGTGATGCATGTGCAAAGCTTTTTTTTGCCTTGTCAAGTTATTGCTTATTTGACTTTCTCGTCACCGCGGCATCTTAAACTTCCAGTTATTTACGATATATTGTGATGAGTCAAAAACAGAATATTCTCGGGGCAAATTGAATTGCTCCTGCTGATAGCATCCCAAACGTTTTTTCGTCTGATCGGTAGTTCCTTCGTTTCTGGTTAGGAAAGTAGAAGCACGCACAAGCTTAGTGAACGAACAGGGCAAATGTGGCAAGACAATAGCCGTCGTGTACGAACTC